TTGTGCAAATCAAGTTGTTCTTATGTTAACTAGTTTGCATTTAAATGAGAAAAGCAGAGAGGTCTGTATCAAAGCAAGGTCACCTCCAGCCTCGCTTGCATTCGTAGGCCAGGTAACTAAGCACACAACTGTAAAATGGCCTATTGTTGCGGTTTAGCCTCAGTAGGATGTTTAGACTAGAGGAGAGGTGACACGGATGACGAACGAACAAACTTGTAAAATTTAGACTAAATTTTCCAGATCACATTTAACGCGACATCGCTTCCTTCGCTTCTTAACTGATTCATGACACAGCTACTTGACAACTTACGCTTGTTGACTCGAAAGGTAGACGAGGTTCTCATTCTCCAAACTGCCTTCAAAAACACTTAAACCATAATAGCGATGCTCCACTCCAAAGATCAGGCCACCATATTGCTCTGCTAGGTCGACAATATTCCCTGAAACAAATTGACAGCAAAACAACTCAGATATATGCGGCAACATGATCGCCTTATGAGCGCCAGGAGTGCTAGTGTTATCCTGATATCAAAAAGGAAATTTAAAGGCCCGGGGCGGGGGACTCCCAAATGAAAAAAGTCGAGACTGCTCTTCGGAAGAGTTGAAATAAACCCCTAATAGCCTCTTCCAGGCGTTCAGTTAGCTAGGGCACAGCGCGAAAAACAGCGAGCGAAAAAATAGGGAGAAGCGCGGCGAGAGAAGGCTTCTTCTAGCCGTACTTTTTTATTTTTCGCGCGCCGTCTTTCGCGCTGCGCCCCAACTAACTGAACGCCTGGAAGAGGCTAAACCCCTAAAGGAGACCAATCGGGGCGTGGCTCGAGCGTAGTTTGACCCCTAGAAGGTACCACTTAAAACGGATGACAGCGTTTTTCTTATTATTTCTTCGAGTGCACGAAAAAGATACTTCTACGGTATAAAATAGTGGCGTTTCGTCTTGAAAACCTTGAGTGAGATCAAAATCCATGATTTCCACCCTTAGCGAGACTACTGCTCTCCTTCCACTCCAATGAAGAAATTCGGGAGACTAGCATAAACAAGTCTTCTATTGCAGCCACCTTTCATCCCCGTGGCTCGAAAATGTTTTCGGTTCCTATAGCCCTGTGTGGACAGACAGCTGTGACTCTGAAGAGCTACCACTGCGCACCAGGTATGTGTGGAGATGACATGATCCTCTTCGTGCCTAAGTGGCACGTAAGGCTGCGACCAGAGATTTCCACTGCTCTCTATCCGTGACTGTCGTCTCGAGTTCTGTCCGTGTTTTTCCTGTTGTTTTCATGTCTGCCTCAATCGTTGTCCTCCATGTTTCTCGTGGCCGGCCTCGCTTCCTTTTCCCATTATCCAGTGTCCACTTCAGTTCAGTTTTTGTGACGCTATCTTGGTCTTTCCTGATAACGTGCCTAAGCCATCTCCATCTCCTTGCTTTATTACTGTGGTGACGTGTTGCTGGCTTATCTTCAGATAGAGTTACTTGTTTGTGATCTTCTGAGACCATTATATTCTGAATATCATTCGGCTCAGGTGTGAAAAGTGGAAGCCTGACAGTCTCTGGCTGTCTCTTTGGATAACCCTCCAGCATTATGCACCATACAATATTACTGGCGAGAGGTTCAGAATATGGTCACATTTATTATGACCAGAGATGGCAAGTTTGTTTTTTAAATCCTAAGGCGACAAAATTAGCCATTATCAACCGATTCAGGAGCGTATTAGCCCCCTTTTTGATCAAACGTGAGAAATAATTTGAGGTGATAGAAATGTCGTCGGATACGTTGGCAGATTAGTAAGTGAAATGCTTGGAATCCACAAGCGCTTCACATTCGTTAAAGTAGTCGCTAGTTATTTACCGGTTACGTTTGCATTTCCTGATATTGCATGTTTCACTCTTTGCTCTTGAAATCCACGGGCCATGACTCCTTTACTTGAGGTGAATCTTGCAATTTTGCTTCTATCTAGAAGCTCAAATAGCCCCCGCACCTTTACTATTGACCTGTCCTATGAAGATATTTCCCTATGAAACATAATCTCACCCCCTCCTCGGCAACATGACAGACACTCTCCCATCGAAAGGAAAATGTCTGCATAACGCTTTTTTCTCGGGTCGCTGTAGGCTCTCTTCTTGTTCAACGGAATTTGAACTAAGTAGCTTGTTGCACGGTTTTTCGTAACAGTGTCTTCAAACTGAGCCGTTGTTGTTGGTCTTTGATAATTACTGCCAGTTTCTGTCTGCAATCTCTTGGTATCTAACTTCCAGACAGTCTTCTTCAAATGAGGCCAATTTGTGTATCCAAGCTAGATTTCTCATGTGATCCATGACCTGCTCACTGAAATTTGGTTAATTCACCATCATCTCCCCTCGTCGCGCCAGTAGGCGCATGACGCCGTCACGTTCTCTAACCAACACTTTCTGCTCTGCGCCGTCGCCTCGGCTACATTCCAAGTCTTTCAGACTGCCTTGTTTCTCTCTTTCTAAACAGTCCTTCTAAAGTGATCTTCGGTCTCCCTCTCACCCTTCGACCTTCTGGTGTTCACCCCAATGCTGTCAAATAGTCACTGACACCCTCTCTCTTGAGTATAAATTTGGCTAATTGCTGGACTGTAAATGACAGGGCACTTGCGCACCTGTGGCATTAGCGCCAACAGCGTTTAGCCATTATTTCAATCTCAACTAGCGACTATAAAGAGGGCCAATTTTAATTTTATACCTCTCCCAGTAAATGTATTACAAAGGAAGGCTTAAAGCTTAAGCTCCGGATAGTACCACTCGTATCTTGGAGGCTACCAAACTGTTAGAGTTTTACCGATATCCAGCCCATGTCGTCACACCATAGGGATCTAAAGTCGCACATTTCAAGGTGTGCCGAGACATAGCTTCGACTTCACGGCTCAACTGGAAACTGCGAGGGAGTCGCACATCCGAAATCTCTTTTAGCTCTTCAGTTGTAGTAATTGTACATGTTTGTGCATGTTTTGACAGCCATCGATAACTGCTTCGGCTGCTTCAAATGCAATGTACAATATACCTGTCATTAAAGATGTGTCTATTATTCATCGCGGTGTAAGAAACGACAAATGAATTTTACTCGTTTGTCTCACGATGGAGTCACTTTGAGATGTTGATGGTGACGTGTCGACTGCTGCACTGCTAGTCTTCATCAGGTGATGAGGTTGATTGTTTAGGTGTCGCTATTTGTAGCACGTTGGTTCGCTGCTATTGGTGCATTTCGATCCTCATTATCATTCCGACTTTGTGACGCTCTTCCCTCATAGGTCCGCATTGTAACTGACCGGCTGTTGAGGTTTTTGATTGTTTGTATCCATGCTTCAGGAATTTCGATTCCACTATCTCTATCGATGTTATCTGGATAAAGTCTAGTATGGATAGCTTCCTTGACCCTTCGTGCGTACCAGGGAGGGTTACGATCAATAAACTTGACTTTTCTTTGTCCCCAGTGGTAGCTCCATCTCGTTGGCGTGCTCTGAAATTGCGGAGGTTTGCGTACCAGCAAGCCGTATGTCTCTGTCATGTTCTTTTATCCTCTCTGGCATAGCTCTCCCTGTTTCTCCGATATACACTTTGCCGTACACAAGGAATCTTATAAACAATACCGTCCTGTTTTGTTGGTTCAAGGGTGTCTTTAGGTCGCATTAAGTAGGACCTAAGAGTTGTGTCAAATTTAAAGACAGTGCGTACGCCTTGTTGTTGTATGCAGTAGCGAAGAACCTCTGATACACCTTTGATATAGGGTAAAACTGCAGTTGATTTAAATTCTTGCGTGGGTTCTTGGTTAGCTGTTGTTCTTGTTGTTTTCGTGAGCTTATGTACAAACGAGGAAGGGTATCCATTAGAAAGAAGTACTGATGACAAGTGCTTCGTTATGAGGGGTATTTGCACCCCCAGGATTTTGAACGTAATTAGGCCTAAAATACCAACTTTTATCCAGCTTTTCCATCGAATCACTTATTTTGCCTTGACTTGTCACTCTATCTTCCAAAGAACTCGATAGCTTCTTTTAAATGTTTTTTCTCCGTCACGATTCGGTTTCAAACGGCACACAACTGAAATTTGAACGTCACTGTATCTCAGGTGAACTTCAAAACACGAGAGAACAACTCTCTAGTACTAGTTTACTAGAAAGAACGAAAAAAATCACTGAGTGTAAATCCATTCAGAATGCCGTAATTTACTTTTGTTGATGGCCTGATTTGAGTTTCTGGAATTAAGCTGAGGTGGCTATATTGGTTTATACTCAGATATTTGCTCGACAAGATGGTAAATACGAAAGAAATTTCCCTGTATAAGTGTTGACTGTAAATGCCATTAACGCCCTGAGCAAATGAAAACCTAGTAGTGAACTGAGTAACTCATATTTTTAAGCGTTCAAGTTATCTATAAGTAGTGACTGAGTCAAGAACGATTAACTCATTTTTAAACGATGGCTGTAGAAAAGTGACAGAAGATGTACTTTATACTAGGTACATACGGGACAAGAGACAACAATGTACCAATCAGACGACCAGAAAAACCAAAGATCTGGACCCAGGACTGGACGCAAACAAATATACGGCAATCTTGAAATTGCTCTTCCTTTTTTCGGTTTTGCAAGCAGTTTTGTTTATACCATCGTACAGCAACAACTTGACAATGCCAAATTGCTTATTTTTGCTAAAAATGAGCATCAAGAGGTTAGAGCTGGGCGCATTGATCGGGACAGGGCTAAAGAAGAAGATGCCATAAAAAAACTCAAGCAGGACCTTAGCATTGCCACTGAAAGAGGAGACAGGGTTGGAGAAATACGCGCGTATGGAACTCTCGGCACTGCTTACCGTAAACACGGGGATCTCGAAAAAGCCGCAAAGTACTATGAGCTGGAGCTTAACATTGCGAAAGAAGTTGGGGACAAGACTGAAGAAGGACGTGCGTACGAAAATCTCGGTATTGCTTATCGTTGTCTCGGTGATATTAATCAGGCCATTGAGTACCATGAGCGGGAGCTTAACATTGCGAAAGAAGTTGGAGACAAGACTGAAGAAGGACGCGCGTTCAAAAATCTCGGTGTTGCGTATCGTTGCCTCGGTGATATTAAACAGGCCATAAAGTGCCACGAGCAGGAGCTTAGCATTGCCAAAGATACTGGCGACAAAGTTGGTGAAGCACGCGCCTTTGGCCATCTTGGTATCGCGTTTGGTAGCCGCGGAGAGTTATGTGAAGCCATTACGTACTATGAGCAAGAGCTTTGCATTGCCAAAGAAGCTGGAGACAGAGGTGAAGAAGGACGTGCCTGTCGAAATCTTGGCACTGCTTATCGTAGTCTTGGAAACCTCAGAGAAGCCGTTAACTACCACAAGCACGAGCTTGAAATTGCCAAAGAAGTCGAGGACCGCGTTGGAGAGATGTTTGCCTACAGAAATCTTGGCATTGTCCATCGCAGTCTTGGAGATTTTACTAAAGCCGTGGAGTGTCACCAGCAGGAGCTTAGCATTGCCAAAGACTTTAAGGACAGCACTGAAGAAGGACGCGCCAATGAAAATCTCGCAATTACCCATATTGACCTGCGAAATTTCAATGATGCCATTCAGTGCGACAAACAGGTACTCATCGTTGTCAAAGAAGCTGGAGATTTAGCTGGTCAAGGACGTGCCTATAGAAGGCTAGGTATTGCTTGTCGTAATCTCGGAAATCTCGATGAAGCCATACGATACCATCAGCGGGAGCTCAGAATTGCCACAAAAGTTCGTGACCGGGCTGGTGAAGGACATGCAAATGGAAATCTTGGTCTTGCTTATCTCAATCGGCGAGATTTCAGTGAAGCCATTAAATACCTCGAGCAGGAACTTAGCATTGCCAAAGAAGTTAGCAACCGGGCTATAGAAAAACATGCTTGCGCATGTCTTGGCATTGCTTATCGTTGTCGCGGGGATCTTAATGAAAGTATTAACTACCACGAACGCGAGCTTAATCTCTCGAAAGAAGATGGAGATCGAGCTGGAGAAGGGCGTGCCACTGAAAATCTTGGCATTACTTATCGTAATCTCAGGGATCTCAATAACGCCATACATTGCCATGAAAAGATGCTCGAAATTGCTAAAGAAGTAAGGAACAGGGCTGGAGAGGGACGTGCAAATGGAAATCTAGGCATAAGCTATCTCGATCGGCGAGATTTCGAGAAAGCTATCGAGTACCACAAGCTGGAGCTCAGAATTGCCCAAGAAGTCGAGGACAGGGCGGGCGAAGTACGCGCTTTTGGAAATCTTGGAGTTGCTTATCGTAGTCGCGGAGATTTCACGAACGCCATAAAGTTTCACAGGCTGGAGCTTGAAGCTGCCAAAAATGCTAAGGACAAGGCTGGAGAAGGGCGTGCCTATGGTAATCTCGGCATTGCTTATCGTTGCTTTGGAGATCTTCATGAAGCCATAAAAAACCACGAGGAGGAGCTTGACATCGCCAAAGAAGTTCGCGACAAGGTCGCAGAAGGGAGTGCCAATGGAAACCTTGGCATCGCGCATCATAACGACGGAAACTATGATGCCGCTATAAACAGCTACGACGAGAGTCTCAAAATTGCCAAAGGAGTAGGGAACAAGGTCAGCATATGTAGTTTACTTTGCCATCTTGGAAGTGTCTATGACAGCCGCGGTGATTATCAAAATGCCATTAAACACTGCAGGGAAGCGCTTGAAATTGCCGAAAAAAACAATGACACCGCTGGAAAAGCACTGGCAAATGGCAATCTAGGCAATGCTTTTGCCAATCTTGGTGATTTTGAAAAGGCAAAAATGCACCACCGAGAACAGCTTCGCTTATCCACTGACCATGGGATTGAGGACAAATATACACAAGTGCAAGCTTACTGCAACCTTGGAAACGACTACCGAAATATTCCGGGTTGTTTTGTGAAAGGCATTGAGTGTGACAGAAAAGGTCTTAAGATTGCCATAGAAGAAAAAGACAGGCGTGGAGAAATGTTTGCCAATGGAAATCTTGGGACTGCTTATCATAGCCTTGCTGATTTTGAAGAAGCCAAAAAGTGCCATAACAAACACGTAATGATTGCCCAAGAACTCGGGGACAGAAAAGAAGAAGGACGTGCTTACACAAATCTCGGCAATGTTTATCGTAGCCTCAAAGATTTTAACCAAGCCAAATTGCTCCACAAGAGAGGTCTTGCAATTGCCGAAGACGTTAACGACACGGTCGGACAAGGACAAGCCCTTTACTCGTTAGGTCGCGATTCTGAATCTGAAGGTTCTTTGCTGGAGGCTCTTGAGCATCACCAATCCTGTGTCAAACTCTACAATGATGTGAGAACTAACCTGCAGTCTGAAGATCAGTGGAAAATATGCTTTCGTGATCTACACAAAAATGCGTACACTGCTCTGTGGGAGACACTGTTAAAGCTTCAAAGGACTGATAAAGCTCTATGTGAGGCTGAGAAAGGACGAGCACAGGATTTAAATGATCTCCTCAAATTGCACTTTGGCTATACAGTACGTAGAAAGCATGAAGAGATTTCTCACATTGTAAGAAATATATCTACTCAAACAGTTTTTATGGCCCTGGGAAGCAACAACATCAATTTCTGGGTATTCCGCAAAGGAGACGAAATTCGTTTTAGGCAAATGGAAATAGATGTTGCCGCCGCCTTACAACATCTTAATAAGAATGTTTGTACTGCAATCGAAGCTCATGACACTGATGTTCAGAGCAAAGTTACATCTTTAAGCGTCCTGTATGATACTATTATAGGACCTATTGAAGACTTGCTTAAAGGTGACGAATTGATCATCATCCCGGATGGTCCGTTGTACTTCGTTCCTTACGCTGCTTTGCTAAATCACGAGGAACCAGCTGCGAGGTACCTTGGTGAATATGTCAGAATCCGCATTTTTCCCTCGCTGACGAGTCTAAAGATCATCGTAGGTCATGAGGATCACCACAGCCAGCCTGAGGCGCTTCTTGTCGGAAATCCAACCAATCCAACGGATTCGAATCCAAAGTCGCTGCCATGCGCTGAAAAAGAAGTAGACCAGATCTTCACCATTATCCGTGGCTCAATCAATGCTAAGGTCTTAAAAAATCAGGAAGCCACCAAGGAGGAGGTTTTAAAGAGCATCAATTCGGCTGCTTTAGTTCACATAGCAGCGCACGGGCAAACAAACACTGGCGAGATTGAATTGGCTCAACAGAACCAAAGCGACGATGACAACGTTCTAACGATGCAAGATGTGCAAAATGTTAAGCTAACAGCCAGGCTTGTTGTGCTAAGCTGCTGTGATACTGGTCGAGGAAATGTTTCAGCTGAAGGTGTGGTTGGCATTGCAAGGGCGTTTCTGAGTGCTGGTGCACGTTCTGTTCTCGCTTCGCTGTGGAAAATTGATTACGATTCCACTATGAAGTTCATGACACATTTCTACCACCACCTCGTTAATGGAAAAAGCGCCAGTGTTGCTCTTCAGCTCGCCATGAAAGATCTTAGAGATTCATTGAATCAAGATCCAAAAAAAAAGGGCCATGCCGAAAAGTACTGGGCTCCATTTGTTCTGATTGGGGATGATGTCACCCTTAAGTTTGGCGAAAGCAAGTAACAACGAAGTGAGTACAAGTTGTACAAATGAGTATGTGAAAAATCATATATCTGAACTGCGAAGAAAGACAAGAAGACGTGACTGACCATCGCATAACTCTATATACACAACTTAAGCAGCTGTGAAACCAAAGCCCGAAAAAACAATCTCAGGCTCCAACGGGACTCGAACCCACAACCTTCGCGATACCGGTGTAGTGCTCTACCAATTGAGCTATCAAGCCAACTGGGAGCTGGTCACGTTGTGAATTCGTAATATACCCGTAGATGGTGAAGATTAGAAATGAATGTATGAGAGATCATATGAATGGGATTCGAACCCATGACCTCTGCGATACCGATGCAGTGCTCTAGAGTACCACCCAGGCGTGCGTTTTAGGATTTTAGGCTATATTTTCAAAGCTGCTTGAGTTGCTTACATCACCGGGATGATCATTCATCTCTTAACATCTTTCTCCGCGGTTCAAATTTAAGATCTTTCGATATATTCACGTGCATTAAAAGTTCAGTTAAATTCTTCATTGACAAACAACGAAAACCTGGATTGAGATTTAAACCTTTTTCATTCAAAGCTAATTTCAGTGTCTGTTTGCTCAGTTCTTGGTTGTCGTTTTGTACCGTGGAAAAGTCCGATAACTTGTTATGAGTGCGCAGCAATAAAAAGAATGCTTAGGACCCCTTTTAAATTCCTTTGGTACTCGTCTTCCGACGATATTACCAGTTGATCTAGCGTTTCAAGTTTGTCTGAAGTTTTTGCTCTTCATCCCATATACTACACTGAATGCAGAATCTCCGGTGTAAATTTCCACGATAAAACCCCAACGGCAATTTCCGGAGAAGACGAAGGAAAGTGTACTGATAGGTAAGATGGAATTCATACTCACAGGTATATATTATGAAATATAATTTTAAATTGCAGAAGATGGATCTGTCTGTGATTTGGTTCCTTTTAATGACAAGTGGAAGAAATGAAGAAACCACGGCAAGAGTGAAAAGAACAGTCTTTAATATTACCAGTATTATTTCTATAGTGGTGTGTTTTTAGTGCTATGTATAACCAGTTCAAGTTATTTCTTGTGTGATAGAGAAAAAGAGCGGTTTTCACTTGAGTGTCGAAAAGTAATTGGTTTGGCAATACTTCGCTACACAATTGGCAAAAAAACTCGCGCCACTTTTTCAGCCAATCGGAAGTAAAACCATAACCAATCGCGACTCCCTCGCACACGTTTTCCCGCGCTTTGCGTCGGCCTCATCTATCTACTTTGAGTTTTGATTGGTTCACTAGATGATCCGTTTCCCTTGTGATTGGAAATAGCGCTTACTTCGGTTTTGGTTTTACGACATTCAATTGAAAACTGCACTACGCGAAATTCCAGTAACTTAGTCCAGATATTTGGTGCCTGCCGATTAGGAGTTGAAAAGGTTGTTTACCTTTGTAGGCAAGAAGTGCACAGTTTCCCTAAAAGTGAAATACGAGTGAACTACAAATTCCCTACAAGTGAAATATTTACGAAGTATATTTGAAAGTTGGTAATCCCTCAGGTATTGAGTAGTAGTAGTAGTAGTAGTAGTAGTAGTAGTAGTAGTAGTAGTAGTAGTAGTAGTAGTAGTAGTAGTAGTAGTAGTAGTAGTAGTAGTAGTAGTAGTAGTAGTAGTAGTAGTAGAACAGGCAAAAGCCGTTTATAGTCATCACCGTGCCAGCTCATATGGTGATTCCAGCTGTTTCCAACTATCAACTGGCGAGAGCCCAAGGAAACCGGTATTCCATCAACCTGATCTCATAGCAGTGACACGAAAAGACATTCAATGCAATCTTCACCAGCAATCCCATACAGTTGACCAAGCACTGGTTAGATGAAGTCACTCCCAGAGTCAAGACCCGTTGGAACTCTTACGAATGATCCATGTGTACAAACATCTCTTGTACAGAACGGGTAGAACCAAGAACTGTGATCTTAAGACCTTAGAACTGAATTGAACGTCAACATCAATGAAAGCCGTCTTTAATATATGTATGTATATATGAGACGAACTTGGTCGTATTTTCACGGCTTTGTTAGGAGAAGTCATCATAAAGTAAATACCCACAGTTTTTTCTCCGGCAAAGCCCGATCACTGTCCATGCAAATGCAAATGCAAACAGTTATCTCCAAGGGAATATCAAGGTATTTACATTGGTCTTCTCTTGTTATCGCACGTAACCAGTTTACATTTAATTTAGCATATATCTTAGCTTTGGTTTAGATATATATACTAGCATCTCATAACATACAGGGCAAAAAATGCGCGGAATTCTAATTGCCCTGGATGGTGGACGCGTTCCACATTTATTTGGTTTCGTCGAATGCGACAAACTGCAAAGATTCTCGAAGATCAGGCGAGGATTTACAATGTACGTAAATTCGAATTGACCTAAAGATTTAACAAAGATGACACGAAAATATTCCGACAATCTCTGAAGATGTCCGAAGATCACACAGTATTTTGATCGTATTTCTTTTTTTCAGTTGTCCATATGTTATGAACAAGTGGTGCCATGTTTCCTTAAGAAAAATTAGAAAAAAATATTACCTCGTGTTTTGAGAGTTGGTGTCTAAGCGACCCACAAGTAAACGTTAAAAATATTGTTAAAAAGACGCTTATTGGCGGTATAAATCAACAAATGTTTCGGCATTACTGCCTTCTTCAGGATGTTTTAGCTGCCACGTCTAAGCGACCCAGGCAATTCTGAAAAATAGCTGAAAACACGTTTAACACAAATCACACACTCGCTGCGTGGACCCCTTATTAACTCCAGACCAGAAATGATCCATAGACCTCTTAATCGTCTTCAATACTGGTCATTCCTTTGTCGCAAATCGTTTTGATCAACAGGGAGTTCAAGCAACCCACAACGACGTTGCTAAACAAAAGAGCACGCATGTGTCATAAATCTTAGTAGATTTCTTAGCCGTCCTCTGCAAAACAACAAGAAATGACCGAAATAAAGGCAGTGTAGCCTGAAGAACGTGAACCACAATGGCGATTTTTTTAAGTTCGATTTTCTGAATTGAACGCTTACATATTCCGTTAAGATAGATCTGACCGTCGTAAACTAGCTGAATGAATCTAGACAATCTAGTTTCCCGCCGCGAGTTTCGACTTCAAGGTAAAATAGTTGATGTTGAACTCGGCGTCAACGTCGCGGTCGCTTAAACTCCCTCTTTATGGAACTTGGGTCAAGCCCAAATATGTTACATATGAGGATGCTGTTCGTGCCTGCTGGAAGTTACAAAATTAAGGATGAATAAAACCCTATCTGCTTTAAGCCAGAGGAATTTGAAAACGGAGGCTTCACTCTGAAAACGTATCAAATCTTTTCCGCCCACATTACGCCGGAGAAACTTCAAAACGCAGCAAATCACCCGTCATTTTGGATTTGTGTTTGAAAAAACAACAACAACAACAACAACAACAACAACACTCGGGCAAGGAAATCACGGTCATGATTATTGTGAGGTCATCGTCTTCAAAAAGCTCCGTTGCCAAGTTTGTTTTCTTCCACACGGAAACGAAAAGTCGGCGTTTTCACATTCCTGCAGTCTGAAGAGCGTTTTAAGAAAGTTCCGTTTTCGTGACGGATTAGTGTGAACGGTAAGCCTAGCCGTAGAAATAAAGCTGGGTTTTCAAATTCCTCGGCGTAGTGTAGACGCATCTGTACACACTGGTGTTAAAGTTGAATGAACTGTGATTGCAGAAGATAGTAGTGCACATTCATATTGTTGGCAGCAAATTTTTTGCAAGAAAATTAAATTTGGTGTGATTGCGTACATTCGGTGGTGATTGTGTTCATGGTAATTACAACATGTAATCGATGTACACAATCTTACACGAAACCTTGACGAGAACGCAAGAATCAGCTGTTCTTTGCCCCCAACAGTACAGAAGGACATTTTTTTCACCAGACAACAAATTGTACTGCGTGTAAGTAGAGGGAGACTTCGCTTCTCGTTTCTGGTTTCAGTGGGACCCGCCTGCATGACGTCAGGTGACATATGACGTCACTGCTTACAGTACAGCCATTCAAAAAGTGGAAAGTGGTGACGGGGGTGGGGTGAGGGCCTGGTGAGGGCGTGGGAGGGGAGAGCGTTCCAACCGAAGATGACTCCTTTCTGAAACCTACTGAGTCCACTAGCGAGATTAATTGCTAACTTTTTCTTGTAATATTCACCAGAAAAAGAAGGAACCCTTTTACCCTTTCCTCCGCTACCCCCAAAACAAGATGCCTGATTTCCGGTTATCGTAACATTTTCAATTCTACAGGTCGGGACAAATACGGAAACATCAACAAAGAGCCAATGTGTAGATTTCTAAGATATTCTCCCAACTTTTGCAGTAAGTAATGCATGGAAACCAGTACGAGAATTGCTATCTTGATACTGGGCTAAAGAGCTGAGCGATTGTCATTTACCACAATCTGGATGATACGCATCCTGGTTTTGTTACTGAAATCTCTGTACCAGATATTGGTCTTTCAGACCACTTGCCAGTTTTTA